TAAAATGTGTAAAATGATATCTTTCCTGAGAAAAGTCTTGAATTTCTCTGCCCAACACCACAAAATCTGAAGCTATTCAATGCAAAATAATCTAAAAAAAACTGACAAAAGCTGCAAATTGTCACATATGACAATAGTATTTTGCTTAATTTAACAACTGAAACTATTAATTGTTTGTCAAAACTGTTTGATTAATTTGTTGCTGATGAACTAACCACTTACTAAGATTACAATTGTGGACAAATATCTCTACATAACTGACCTGCAGGCACCTGATCTACCATATTATCCTATTAATAGCAGCAAAATGATTAACACACTTATATTATATCAGCCAATAACTCTAAATAACTGGGCCAAGTGGTTAGGTTTATAAAAGCAGTAGCTGTGTGGGAAAAAGAAACTTAACTAGTCCATTAAAATAGAAAGGAAGAGTTAAGTACATTCAGCCAGCTGGGGAGGAAGATCAAGGTAACCAAACAGCCTTGAACCCACGACACAGTTAAAACAAAAAAAAACCCACTTGAGACAGAGATTAGGAGCTAAATGTGGGTTAATCCGGTGCATTGTATCTACCGTAGGTTAAAGTTAACTCCACACTCACTCCATGTGACTGTGTGGCGACGAGTTTGGTGGCAGCTGGGTCGCTCTTCTTTTTCAACCCCTTCCAACTTTCAACAAAAAGGGAAAGAAGAAGGGGGTAAAAGAAAAAGTACGACCCCTACTCACGGCGCTGTAAAGCTACTATAATGTATCAGTCACGTCCCCCCCCCTAATCACAACTGAGTGAATTACATATGACAGCGGTTCAGAAAGGGGGGAAAAACTGGGAGAGGAAGCAGCCAACGCCGAGCAGCCAGGACGAACGCTGAAAACCAAACCGCATCCCATACTTTTCTTTCTCTTTCAGCTCTTCTTCCACCCGAAAAACAAAAAGCAGCACTCACGTTGACCGGTTCCAGGGGACGTCCGAGCGGCTTGTGTTGACTTTACCGGGGGTAGACGGCGTTATCGGACGGTAAATAATCCGTTATGTTCAGTTGTGGAGCTACGAGTAGTTTACAGTCACTGTTTTCTCTCTCTCTCTCTCTTGCTCTCTCTCTCTGTCTCCCCCCTCCTCTCTCTCTCTCTCTCTCTCTAGTCTGTTCCTGCTTCCCCTCTCCACATCCAGCATTCCAATATGGCTGCTGCAGGGAGCGACACACACACACACACACACACAGAAAGAGAGAGAGAAGAGAGAGAAAGAGAGAGAGGAGAGAGAGAGAAGAGAGAACGTGGAGAGTTGATAACGATATGTAATACTCCAGGTAGGAAGTAGTATTGTTTATTTAAACTATTTTTTTTTTTTTAAAGCTAGTAGGTATTATAAATACTTCTTTGTCGTATTTGCTTGAAACTTTCACTTTATTGCTGACAAGAAGCTACACGAGAGAGATAATCTGGGGGGAAATCAGCCTCCTCGTGGCTTTCTTCCTTAGCTGCTCCTAATGGTGTTTTGAAGAATGCGCAGGCCAGGAAATAACAGCCAATCGGAAGAGGAGAATGATGGTTGGGACTGTTTTTGAATCTGGTGGCTTGAGGTCCAGCTGATCTGTGTGAGTCTCATTGCCAAGTAATCAATATTTGAAGACCTGGGAATCAATAACTTCCTTGGCCCCTGATTGGTTGTTTTCTTTCCTGGTTGTTTCAGCAAAATATACGATACAAAGTAGTTTTTGTAGCTTTAAGTAAAAGCAAGCAATACAGTAAAAGAGATATAGATACATTTTAACTGTAATAAGTACATCTTTACTTCAGTACCTGTATCAGGATATTCCTTGAAAGCGTACGTATCCCAGGGTAGTAGTAAGAAGCACTTATTCCCATTTTTAAGCTGATACAAACAAATACTTTTAAAGCCGCAGAGTGACATAAATAAGATTTAACCTGTAACTAAGTACAGTTTAACTCAAGTACTGTAATGTACTTTAGGGGTAGTCTTACTTGTACTTTCTACTGTATGCACTTTATTTAATATATTTAAAAGGTCAGTGGCTCGTAACATTTATAGATCTATTGGCTTAAATGGAGATATATATACTGCATAACTGTGTTTTCATTGGTGTATAATAACCTGAAATAAGAATTGTTATGTTTTTGTTACTTAAATCGAGCCTCTTATATCATACAGTCCTTTTGATTGACTTTATATAATGCATATTTTGTTGCCAAATCTTCTGTACCCTTTTACGTGTAATGGAGTACTTTAATTCTGCTACTTTTACTTCAGTAAATGATTACATTCAAAACTGACTATGCAGTGATCCTGTGTCTTTTTTTTATGTGAGTGCCCTTTCTGCCATGTGCTTTCCATCTGTGCAAGGTCCAAAGACGACATCTGGTGGGTCACTATTGTTATTGCAAGTATATTTGGGTTTACATCTAATTCTACATATATATATATCAGATATATATTATCACAGGTTTCTAATCCCAAGGGGTATGGACTTACATATTTAGATTTGGTGATTTTTATGGTCCCTGATGGATGAACCCCAATGGTTATAATTATTTCTAAATTTAATTTATTTAGTTTTTGATTGTCTTAATTTCTTTCTGGATAATAAATCAATGATCACTACAACAACATTTGAAAAAATGCTGTGGTTTTTTGGTGAAGCCTCTATGCTGAATTCGATCAAAATACGCGTTTGTGAACATCTTACATCAATCAGTGTGATGTCTCTCCTTTAAAATGTTCCTGTATCAGAGAGTCCAGAGGACGGGTTTGCGTGACCCGTTTATTGAACCGGGGTGCTGCGGCCACAACGCAGAGTACTAACACTATACGATCACGGCTGACCCGCTTTTCGCACCGTATATTGACATAGACATTTAAAAAGTGTAGGGCAAATATTGTTACCAAATAGTCCCATTTGTTTTTTTTCTTATATACCACACATCAGCCAATCAATCATGATCATTGAGCGTGAGCTTCTGGATGAAGCCAGAAACCTGAGTGAGCACAAACAGCCTGTCATAACCGAACGAACACAGAGTCCGAATTCTTATAATTAACAACATGACATGAGAGGAAATTTGGAAGCAGCAGAAATTAATCAGCCGAGAGCAAAACAATTATGAAACAATACTAGCTGACAATTTGTAAGACATTGCTGAGCTTTCTTGTGCTTAATGGGTTTATTTAGTCATTTCTTCAACCGGTTTTTGAAGTGCCTAAAATTAAATATATGAAGTGGACAATGAGGTGGAACACAGTGTGTAAGTTCAGCAAGTCACTTCCTTGCTATAGGTAAACATGTCAAAACACCACTTAAAAATGGAAGATTTTTTAATTGCACAACCCATTTTGATCAATACTTTATGTAATGTATGTCTTTATTCGTCTTTTATTTATTTATGTGATGAAGCATCTTTTCAAATGACTTTACCTGAACTCAACAGGTGTGATGCCAACCCAGGCTTAGATATTGACAAATTGTTGCTCTTAATCAGTTACATGTAAATTAATCTTAAAATGAAAAATGCAATTGTGAAATTATTAAGTTTAAACCATCTTTTAAAGCTCTCCTCTCAGATGATTCAGTCATCTCTCCTTTCTTTGCGGCTGGCCAGGCGTCACCTTTGGTAGCTTTATCTATAGATCTTTCAGATCTGTTGATACCACTCATAATAAAACCATATACAGCAGTGAACAAAACTCTGAACAGTCCTACGGCAAATACTTAATAAAAATCAATTAACCACAAATAAGGAGTAGTTAAAATAAAACCAGTTTAGTACACTAACAGGAAGTAAAAAAACAATTTAATATCAGTCATTTGGAAAACTATATTTGGATCTGTAAGAAATAATTAACACATCAAAGGAAGTGTTGTTAGATTAAGTAACTGATAGATACTTTATTTAATTTGCAATAATCACCAACAGATACCAGGTGGGGCAGGACATCAGACAACTAAGCATAAAAGACAGGACCCTTGCTATATTTTACAAAACAATGTAGCATATAATATAATATACAGGTCATAACAGGTTAGCCTTTGTCTCTAACACTCTCTGTAGTCTCCCTTATGCTGGCTCCAGCACAGTTTTTTATATCCCCTGTTTCTAATCTGCATCTGGATTCACATTTCCTAAACTATGTGTGTGTGTAGAGCATGTGTTTATATGTGTGTATATTTCTATTTTATTGTATGTCCCAGAGGGTTATGATTCATTTGAGTGTTCATCTCATGTTTTGCTTAATCACAAAAATGAATTGCACTTTAGAGTTGTTTCTCTTGAGATGAATATTCTTAAAAAAACAGTGAAATAAATTTTAAAGCATATTTATTGTGAGGAGTAAAAGATGAAAACTTTCGTCCTGAGATAGACAGGGCTCTCTCCCACGTGACATGGCTTAAAATAAAATGTAATATATTTTATATTAAATAAATAATTCAGAATATTCTTTTTAATACAGCGCAAATAAAAATGATTGTAAACATTGCTGCCTTATTTACGGCATTGTAAATATAGAATGGTTCTCAACCGACTGGTTAAATAAAGGTTAAAAAAAACAGCTGCTTCATGTCTTATTTGTGTATTTAAAGATGAGCATTGAAGTAGCATTTATATGTGTATAATATTTGTTTTCTTCTGTATTATAAAAAGTCAGCTCAGTAAATTGCATAAATGTATGGTTTTTTTGAGGGGGGGGGGGTGCCTTTACATTTGCGTATCTAAATACACTAGACGGCGCCAGTACCCAGCTCTCTGAACTGGCAAAAGATAGAAGGGGCAAAATGCTTTTATTTTGGATTTTGTAAACAGGAAGTCCACGCAACGTTTGAGTTTGACTGACCAACGTGTCAGTGTGTGTGTTGTTTTGGGGTTGTGTGTGTGTGTGTGTGTGTTGTGGTGTGTGTGTGTGTTGTGTGTGTGTGGTGTGTGTGTGTGTGTGTGTGTGTGTGTGTGTTTGTGTGTGAAG